CTTCCCCCAAAAAAAAAAAGGGGGGGGAAAAATTTAAAAAATTTTAAATTTTTTTTTTGATTTTCCCCCCCGGGGGGAATTTTTAAATTTTTTTTTTTTTTTAAAATTTTTTGGGGGGGGGGGGTTTTTCCCCTTTTTTTTTTTAAAAATTTAAAAATTTTTTTAAAAAAAAAAAAATTTTAATTTTAAAAAAAAAAAAAAAAAAAAGGGGTTTTTGGGGTTTTTTTTTTTGGTTTTTTTTTTTATTTTTTCGATTTTTTAAAAATTTTTTTTGGGGTTTTTTTTTTTTAAAAAAAAAAAATTTTTTTTTTAAAAATTTTTTTTAAAAAAATTTTAAAAACTGGGAAAAAATTTTTCCCCAAAAAAGGGGAAAAAAAAAATTTTTCCCCGGGTTTTTGGGGAAATTTTAATTTTTTAATTTTAAATTTTTTTTAAAAAAAATTTTTTTACAAATTAATTTCCCAAAACCTTTTTTCCTTTAAAAAAATTTTTTTTTAAAAAAAAGGGGCTTTTTTAAAATTAAATTTTTTTTTTAAAAATTTTTTAATTTAAAAAAAAATTTTTTTTTTTTTAAAAAAAAAAAAAATTTTAAAAAAAAATTTTAAAAAATTTTTAAAAAATTAAAAATTTTTTTTTTAAAATTTTTTAAAAAAAAACCCCCCAAAAAAATTTTTTAAAAAAAAAATTTTTTTGGGCGGGGAAGGGGAATTTTTGGGAATTTTTTCTTGGGGTTTTTTTTGGGGGGGGAAAAATTTTTTAAAAGGGGGGGGGGGTTTTTTTTTTAAAAAAATTTTAAAATTTTTTAAAAATTCTTTATTTAAAGGAATTTTTTTTTTTTTTTGGTTTTTTTTTTAAAAAAAAAAAAAAATTTTTTTTTTTTTTAAAAATTAAAAAAAATTTTAAAAAAAAAATTTTTTTAAAAAAACCCCCAAAAAAAAATTTTTTTTTTTTCCTTTTTGGGAAAAAACCCCTTTTTTTTTTTTAAAATTTAAAAAAATTTTTTAAAAAACCCCCCTTTTTTTAAAACCCTTTCCCCTTTTGGAAATTTTTCCCTTTTTTCCCCCCTTTTTTTTTTTTTAAAATTTTTTTTTAAAAGGGGGGTTTTTTGGGTTTTTTTTAAAAATTTTTTTTTCCCCAAAAAAGGGATAAATTTCCCCAAAACCCCCCAAAAAGGAAACCCCCCTTTTTCCCCTTCCCCAAACCCCCCCCTTTTTAAAAAAATTTTTTTTTTTTTTTTCCCCCCCCCCCCCCTTAAACCCGAATTTTTTTAAAACCCCTTTAAAAAATTTTTTTTCCCCAAAACCCCCTTGGTTTTTTAAAAAATTTTAAAACCCGGGGCCCCGGGGGGTTTTCCTTTTCCCCCCGGGCCCCCCCTTTTAACCCCTTTTTGTAAATTTTTTTTTTTAAAAAGGTTTTAAAAAAAAAAAGGGGGGGGGGTTTTTTTGGGTTTTTCAAAAAGGGGGAAAAAAAAAGGGGGGGGGGGAAAAAAATTTTTCCTTTCTTTTTTTTTTTTCCCGGGGGTTTTTGGGGGTTTTTTGGGGGGGGGGGAAAAAAAAAGGGGGTTTTTTTTTTCCCAAAAAAATTTTTTAAAAAAAAAAAAAAAAAAAAAAAAAAAAAAAAAAAAAAAAAAAAAAAAAAAAAAAAAAATTAAAAAAAAAAAAAAAAAAAAAAAAAAAAAAAAAAAAAAAAAATTTTTTAAAAAAAAAAAAAAAAAAAAAAAATTTTTTTTTAAAAAAAAAAAAAAAAAAAAAAAAAAAAAAAAAAAAAAAAAAAAAAAAAAAAAAAAAAAAAAAAAAAAAAATTTAAAAAAAAAAAAAAAAAAAAAAAAAAAAAAAAAAAAAAAAAAAAAAAAAAAAAAAAAAAAAAAAAAAAAAAAAAAAAAAAAAAAAAAAAAAAAAAAAAAAAAAAATTTAAAAAAAAAAAAAAAAAAAAAAAAAAAAAAAAAAAAAAAAAAAAAAAAAAAAAAAAAAAAAAAAAAAAAAAAAAAAAAAAAAAAAAAAAAAAAAAAAAAAAAAAAAAAAAAAAAAAAAAAAAAAAAAAAAAAAAAAAAAAAAAAAAAAAAACCCCCCCCCCCCCCCCCCCCAAAAAAAAAAAAAAACCCCCCCCCCAAAAACCCCCCCCCCCCCCCCCCCAAAACCCCCCCAAAAAACCCCCCCCCCCCCCCCCCCCCCCCCCCCCCCCCCCCCCCCCCCCCCCCCCCCCCCCCCCCCCCCCCCCCCCCCCCCCCCTTTCCCCCCCCCCCCCCCCCCCCCCCCTTTTTTTTAAAAAAAAAAAAAAAAAAACCCCCCAAAACCCCCCAAAAAACCCCCTTTAAAAAACCCCCAAAAAACCCCCCAAATTTCCCCCCCCCCCCTTTTTTTTTTAAATTTTTTTAAAAAAAAATTTTTTTTTTTTTTCCTTTTTCCCCCCTTTTTCCCCCTTTTTTTTTTAAAAAAAAAAAAAAAAACCCCCCTTTTTTTTTTTTTTTTTGGGGTTTTTTTTTTTTTTGGGTTTTTTAAAAAAGGGGGTTTTTTGGGGGGTTTTTTTTTTAAATTTTTTTTAGGGTTTTAAAAAAAGTTTTTTTTAAAAAAAAAAAAAAAATTTTTTTTTTTTTTCATTAAGGGGTTTTTTTTTTTTTTAATTCTTGGGGTTTTTAAAAACCCAAAAAAAACCAAAGTTTTAAATTTTAATTTGGGGGAAAAAAAAATTTTTTAAAAAATTTTAAAAGGGAAAAAAAAAAATTTGAAAAAAAATGAAAGTTTTTTTTAAAAATTTTTTAAAAAGGGGGGAAAAATTTTAAAAAATTCCCCGGGGGTTTTTTTTCCCCCCCAAAATTTTTTTTTTTAAAATTTAATTTGGGGGTTTTCACTTACATCACATGGTCTTTGAACTTATTAAGGTAAATCATAATTATGTTTACTTTCATCTCAATAACCAAGCGTGTTCTTTCCTATGACTTTTTGCCTTTGGTGAAAATCTATAGTGAATAGTTAGGAAACATGTGAGTGGATATTGTAATGATTTTGAATTGATATTTGATTCTATTACTGCCTCTAAAAATACACTAACAGTAGAGTAAATTAATGCTTTAGATAGATCCTTGCAGTTACACGTTGTATTACTATGCTTGTAGCTATTGAGTCACAAACAAGCACATATAAAGTGGTTTCAAGAAGCAAGCAATTACAAAGTAAATCAGCCAGAAAGAAAGTTGGCAAACTAATTTATAAAAGCCAAGTTGGTATGTGATTTTAACAGCCTTTAAGTTAAAACTCACTGCCGTGACCGAAACCATCCTTTAGATCCGTTAATACTCCTTTCACAAATTGTATGTGCAGTGATTCTTTGATCGTAATACTATTTTACTGCACTTATAAGTCCCCTTATTTCATAGCGATTACAAAAAACTAATAATAGAAACGAAAATGCAGATTATCCTTCACGAAAATCATGCTGCAATCATGTTAAAATCATGCTACAATCATGCCGCAAATTTGTGAAACTGTATGAATTTTTAACTAAGAAGCCTTAGCTTGTCATATAATACATTTTAAAAGTTATCAACTTGTGCTAGTGAAACGTACATATTATGAGTCTAATATAATGTTTATAATACGGCATAAGAATGTGTAACATTAGATCTGTCAGGTATTTATGCCTAATATGGTTACTAATGACTGGTAGAATTTTACATTATACACAGTAAAATATACTCAATAACAGAATTCAACTATTCAGCTATAAGAGCACTCTCACCAAAACTGCTACTGTTCCTTCAAAATAGGTTGAAAAAAGGTAGAAATTAATCCAGTAAATGATCATAAAGCACATGTTAAGATATTTGTAAAACAGTTTTAGTACAGTTTCTTTCGCAAAAGTTTTGCAATCGATTTGCAGCGCACTGGGCAGTGGGCACGAGACAGAGTAATATGATATAAGTAAACCAGGAGTCAGTGAGTGCGTCTGTTATCTTCACAGGGAATTACAGTTGATGTTGCCCTGAATAACAGGATTCAGTGAGTGCCGTATGTTATCCTCACAGGGAATTACAGTTGATGTTTTGTTGATGTTTTGGAAAAGTTCGGATTAGATTTATAGGTGCCTAATTCAATGAGGGCTATAGACAAATTTACCATATGCATTATGTATTTATGTTTTATCTCTTCAGTGTCTAGGCCAGGAAAATTCTTCGTACCGGTCCAGTAGCATTGGAATTTGGAATTTATCAGATAAGAAAATTGGCAACAAAAAAAGTACCATTGTAACCAGTCCGACCGGTTTAGCCATGAATTTAGTTAACAAGTTTATCAAGTCATGTTTATTGTCTGTTTGGGGCTGTAATAAAATTTCTCAAAATTAAGGCTCTGTGAAAATGTGGTTTTATACTGTCCCGTGTCCGTATTGTCGCGACCAGAAGTGACAAATATAATAGATGTCCACATACTGTACTGTGTATTAATCTTTTGTCTCCTGCACAATTGTAAGCCAGTTCCCAGGTGTGGTGATAGTACAATACGCAACAGGTGAATACGCCAAGTTAGAGAGCGTCATTGCGGTATAAATGCACTTACAAATTTGCAGTCGTCACGACTTATCCCGCCGATCGCGTCGGCGAATTAATTATATAACGCGCGCATTTCAAGCCGCGCCGCGCACAGGATGCATGCAGCCAGGCCAGAGCTAGATCATGCCACGGTGGAAAATATTGACCATTTCGCAGATTTTAATCTTGCAACGATTATCGCGCGTTTATCGCATGCGAGACGATTATCGTTTGTGGTGCACGATTATCGTACGATTATCGCGGTACTTGACGATAAACGCGTGATTATCGCAGGATCGTTTTTTTATCGCACGATAATTGTGATGTCGTACTGTCATCGCACGATAATTGTTATGTCGCACTGATATCGCACGATAATCGAAAACACATGACAATAACCCCTTTAGTACAGGTAATGTGATATAATAACATGGTATGAATTCTAATCTCTTTACATTATAACGTTGGTGCGTGTGACGTGGTTGTTCATACTTTATGATGACAGGAATCTACTGATCACTGTAATGTGGACACAATAATTGGCGCACCTAATGTTTACTGTTACCCGGTCATTCCTATGGATCATTTTTCTTCTGTGGTGTTCTCAAACACGCTGCATGCACCATAAAATGGTTGAAATTGACACACTAATTGGTTATGATCATATTGAATATCGTTATCATGGTTTACCCACACGGAGAACAGCTAGGAGTAGGACAGATGCAGGCATTCCGATCTATTACATATTGTCATATTGTTTTCATAACTTCTGTTGTTTTGGTCGTATTTTATCTGGGAAAACAGTCCCATTGCATTTCATGAGCATGGGGAATTCATTCCTGCAACATTAACAAGCATCGTGGAGTTCCTACAATGATTAAAATATGTTGCGGTGGCGTATAAAAATTAAAGACTTTCTCGCGCGCACAAATATCATGTTGCCAAACAATAATTAGACCAGCGCATTCCGTTAATTAGTGGCAAATTTCAATTTTGAAGTCGAATTTGGTGAACAACCATTGTGACGTCACAATCTCCGTTGGTGCATGTGGTTATCCATACTTTATGGTGACAGCAATATGCAGACGTACATCTTATCAGTTATATATAGAGGGTGGCCCAAAATTAACTACCCTTAAATAACTCACGTAATTGGCATCAGAATTGCTTAAACATTTCAGATAATATAGATATGGGTAAAACTTAAATTTCCTGAAAGTCTCGTAAAATTTCATTTTCTCTTTTGTCGCCATAAAGTGAGAACGTTAGGAACTCCAAAAATTTCCAGACAGATGTGGTTTGATAATTGAAGTGTTTTCCAAAATTTCAAGATGGTTGTTAACAACTAAACTGAGTTATGACCATTTTAAGATATGGCGAATACATGATCTCGGCACTTAATCTGTGATTTCTTCACTTAATCAATGGTCTGATTGGTTAGAACCTGCTCATAGGACAGCAACCGAAGCGCTATAACGAGAATTTCTTTGATTTTAAGGTATTCACTCAAAGTGATCAGATTGTCATCCCCCAACATGCTCGGTACTGCCTAATGAGGCTCATTATTGCCTGCTACTGAATAGCTCCTAATTGGGTGACGAAATCACAGATTAAGTGCCGAGATAACGTATTCGAAGCTGTAAACAACCAACTTGAAATTTTGAGAAAGCTCTTCTATTATTAAACCACATGTGCCTGGAAATTTTGGAGTTCCTAACTCAAAACGTTCTCACTTTATGGTAACAAAAGAGAAAAAGAGGGAGTGATGTAATTGATGAAATTTTACGAAAATTTCAGGAAATTTAAGTTTGACCCATATCTATATTCTCTGAAATTTTTAAGCAATTCGGATGCCAATTACGTGAGTTAGTTATTTAAGGGTTTTGTGCGGGTAGTTAATATAATATTGGATATATATCCGGATATTATCTAACTATCAGAATTTCAATCATGAGACTAATAAACAGCGAACTACTCTATCATTTGATATATTAGGGTGTTTAATTAAAATAGACACGCGTAGAAATATGTTATTATTAATTGTAGCTTTTAACCGAGTATGTACCTATTATAGTTATATCTACATTTACTGGCAGGAACGACTTTACCGTGTGCAATGATCATGATCATATCATTATCATGATTTTGTAAACTGTTCTTACACTATAATCATGTTAATGTTATTCTCTTCAGAACGCACTGAGGGCGTCAGTTGAAAATCCGTTCACCGGAGAAAAGCACCCAGTTCAAATTTGCATAGTTCAAGGGAAAAAAGACATCAGTATTAAAGTGTCTGATAGAGGCCGAGGAATTCCTATGTCTGAGCAGGACCAACTATTCGACTACCATTACTCAACAGCCCCAGAGGTTAGTTGTAGATTGAATATGGAGATAATGTGTTAACAAGTTCCTACTTCCCACAGTTCTATATTATTATCTTGACTTTTGAGTTTTTTGTTGTATTTTAGCTTAGAATAGGTAGGTAGTTCTGAAGAGCTCACTGTTTTTTATTTGTAGCCAGAGAAAGACTCGAGAATACCGCCCTTGGCCGGCTTTGGGTACGGATTACCCCTTTCTCGGCTGTATGCCCGGTACCTGAACGGTAACATTCGGTTAGTGAGTGTGGAGGGATACGGGACTGATGCTGTTATTTATCTACAGGTTAATTATGTGGACATTAATTTTATTGTGTGTTATGTATGTATAATTATAAAATGTTCTTTTATGCAGTTCAATGATACATCAGGGTATATAATTGAGATAAATTAAATATGGTAGTATTTGTACAATTATACAATATACATAAATAAAGTTACAGGATGGTCTAGAAACCAAGAAAATACACGTCAGACTCATCAACCATACTGTGACACATTTCTATTCCTTAGAATTTATCGGAGAATGCCAGCGAAGTTCTGCCTCTGTTCAACAAGACGAGTCAGGCGAAGTATCAGATTGGAACCATGGTTCAAGACTGGAATGTCGCCGGCAAATCACGACCAATCTGGTCATAGACGTAAAACCCTCGACTGTAGCAAGACCATCGCTAAAAATACCTTCTCCCTTCTCAACGAACTGAAAGTTTGCTAAAATAACTATTACTGCACGATAGGAACCAGATTTTGTTGATTTTATTTCTGCTATCCACCAAAAACCGACAGAAAGATCCTATCTGAAAAACATAGCTAGAGGGTACAATGGGCTGATTGGCATCTGATGTGGCTCTTATTATCACTGTTTATATTAAAGCTTAGCTCTGAAAACTAAAGTTGGTTATATGTTCTGGTCCTTTCAATGAAAATATGAACAAAGTTTGATCAACATTAGCCTGGGTAAAAATTTCTTTACATTTTTAATATCCAGGAAACCACAGTCACCAACATGCAGCCAACTTCAACCAATGATAATAACGACTGAAGTTCAGTGAAGTTGGCTTTATGTTGGTGTCAGTAAAATGTAGTACGTACGTTTATTAATACCTGTTTAAATATGGTTGTAAGTTATTCTGCCACTTCCAGGCCTACTCCACAGAATTAATCTGTTTGGTCGATATCTTGATCCTTAGTACGATCCTTAGTATCCTTACGAATCCTTAGTACGATTTTAGAATTTAGATTCCGTGATTTTTAGTATAGCAATGCAAAGAAAATTTTGATGCATTAGCAAGTTTTACATCAAAATTAGTTCCGTTCATGCAAAATTAACTTTCTTACTTTATAATGATTTAACTGAAACACTTTGATCGTTCCATGTTAAAATATATTACAAAATTAACTTTAATTAAAGGATTGCGAAAATCCTGTATGATTCATTCTCGATTTTAGATACTGGACAGTTTATTACAAACGTAGGTTCGATTTGTGTGTAAATTATTTTAATTAAGCATGACTATTATCAGAGATTTTTCAATTACGTTTTGTGACTTTTTAAGCTGACCAAAGGTAAAAAACTGTGATGTCAAGACCACTTCTGCAATATGTTGTGCTAAAATCTTACACAAGATGGAACCAATATAACAACGAATTTTTGAGGTTATTGATTGGAAATGTTTTCACAAAGCTTGTTGAAAGTTGTCATTGGGAAATGGTATGGCAACAAGTGCATATTCTCATAATCATTGTAAACTGATTCCCAGTTAATACTAGTTTTGAAAATTGTTGCTATGTAGGTGACATGTTCGTCTCTTTAAAGTTAAAACAATTAAAAAAGTGTAGGGTCATATTATATTATAAAAATAAAACCAAGTTTTTTTTCAAGCATATTCCGTTTTTTTATTTCCTTGGTGTTTTGGCGTATGATCAATTCTGTTTATCTGTAGTTCATTTCACAAATCGAGCCAATTTCAGGAGATTTGTTATGAAACGATTCTTAGACTGTAATTTATAGATTTTAGACAAGAATGATTATCAAATTTATCGATATTGATTTATCACACCAACATCTTTGATTTTCATAGACCTATGTTTGTAAAATATTTTAGCGTTCAGGAAATCTCCCTCCGTAATCTGAACCAGAAATAAAGGTCCAAATGAATATGGGTCGAACAGTTTTCACATATTACGTCAGCAAGATTTCAAATTCTCTTTACTTCCCCATATTAGCAAGATTACACATTGCTATATTATGTAAAAATCACATAAGAGCCAGCATTTCGCTAATGTAGACAACCCCCCCCCCCCCCCCCCCCCCATACCTGAAATAATGGCGTAATATTTGAACGGTCCCTTCATGGGATTTATGTACTATTGGCTTTAGATACAATTCAGCTCTGTAATTTTTTAAATTTAACATTTTTATGTTATCGATTTGTTTTATTTTTCGTTAAGTGCGGATATCAATCTCTTGATGAAGCTCTGACAACTAAAAATCTGTAGAAATCGTTAATATTTCCTGTTAGATCATATAGGCTCAAAACTAAATGAGCAGGATATTTAGGTCACCAACTAAAGAATTTTTTGAAGGGGTTTCCAGACTATTAGTGAAAGATTCTAATTTGTAAGGCCATTAGCTCAGTTTCGTACACACATGGCACATGCTGGATCCTAAATTCTATAATTGTATATTTTACAGCTTCGTGCGTACCGTCGTTTTTTGTTCGCGCCCTACAAATTTCGCCAAAACTTTTTAAGATGTGACCAAATGTGGCAATTTAACTTTTTTGGCGCGATGAATTGATGGTGAGATTTGTATTTTCGACTCATAGTTGGAGATATGAAAGAAGGCACAATTTTAGAGTTTGGGCTCAATAACACCCATTCATTACCAATACCGTACCCTTGTTAAATTGCATACAATTTTAAAAAATTATCTAATAAGCCGATTACCAAATAGCTTGCGACAAATTGCCCAAGAAAAAAGTGCTCCTCTCATGGCGATGACGGATAATATTTGTCATCGCCTGGAAAATATTTTCCAGTTCTAACATCACACTTTTACTGATCAATACAAATTTAGAACATTTCCATTTCCAAACAAATTTGTAACCAATAGGGACATGTCCTCACTACTAACTCAATTAAGTCGAGATTGGTATTTTTTTAAAACTTCTGGACGTATTAAATCTACTCGACAATACCAATTTCCCTGTTGGTTACATAACAAAACCATTTAAAATTCAAATTTTTCTTGTTAGTGCTCAACTATTACCTGTGTTTTACAGTATACACTTTCCTAGTTATGATTTTCCTGGAAAGGGTTGCGTAGTTAGCAAGCTAACCAGCTGCCCTGCCAAATATAATTTTAAAATCGAGCGCTAATACGAACACCAGAAGATGACGATATATAGCAAGGCTATTGGGGAATGGTGAAGCTTATTAAATCAAACACAAAAGTATTTCCTTGTGTTTAGAATTTGGCAACGTCGTTTTGTATAAGATAATTATTTTTAAATTGATAGCTCACGAAGTATGACGGGTACTTCAAACGAAATAAGAGATATTAGCATTGTTTACACAAACTTAAGTTAATACACAGTTGGTCAGATTAAACTATACATTAGTGACTCAGGTAATATTAATCACCTGACGACATTAAAACGAACCTTATTATCGTTAATTTAAAAGAAGCATATACAATGTAAATGATGTTATAAGTAATTTTGTAGGTTCAATACATTTGCAAATTGAATAACGAATTTCAATAGAAATTTCGCATAAATATGATATGAGTCAACATTGCTAAACAATACAAATTAAATGGTACAATGAGGTTTTGCAAACAATAATAAAGATCCTCAAGCTATTATAGTTTTTCTTTTAGCTCTAATAAATAAACTATAACGCATTTACACCGACAAAACTACGAATATAATATTAATTTGAAAATTCAATGATAAAATTTATAAATCTATTTGTAAAAACACAACCAATGCTCCCTTAACAAAACATCAAAGTTAAAAACGGGTTTCGTAAACAATTATAAAAACTATATTAATACATCATTCAGCATTCACACCGAATATTGTGTCATAACATTAAATATTAGTTACAAATAATACTAATTGGATAATTTAATGGGTAACGTTCAATCGCGTGGGTTATAAAAACAACCAAGTTAACTGCAACAAGAAACTAATGTTACTGTTCTTAACCCTTATCAGTGTAAAATGTTGATAAACTCTTTAACCTTTGCCACAATCTTCTCGTCACTCTGTTTCTCGAGGAGCCACATGGCCGGAGAAACCATATCTTCCAGGACATATAATTCCTCATCAAGTGTGCTAGATCTAGCAATCTCCACCATGCAGTGTGTCAAATGTGTTAAATATCTTGTATTAAAGGGCGGATCATTCTCCAAATACCCAATAAGAAGCTCCGAAATAAGCCTGAATATTTTTGCGAGATCAGATTTTCCCGGTGCAGCATAACCAACTGTTCGATCAGAAGCCAATGTAAGAAGTTCGTCAAAAAGCTGTTCACGATTACCTGACCTTATCATTTCCCATGCGAGTCGGAAAAATCCTGGAGAAATGGGTTTCATCTGCAAGATTGATTTTGCGTGTTGAACCAGGGTATGTTCCCACTCAGTGAAGTTAAGAGGGTAGTGGATGCTGGGGAGGAATAGTGCCAGTCTGTACGTGATTTTAGCGACAGGATCTACAAGTTCAGTTTGTGATACTTTCATTTTCCTCCAAATCAGAGGCATATGCTCCACCAGCTGTTGTGACGATATGAAGTCAAAGTGATGAGCTTCCAAAATTTCTGAGATAATCTCAAATGAAATAACTAAGATTTCAGACCTTTTGCTCATGGAGATAGCTTTGAAAAAAGTTTCCAGTATTTTGAATTCCGTCTCCAGTTTTTTCAGTTCATCGATTGTACCGCCCAAGACAATACATTTGTAAATTTCCATCGTTGCAGTGCTGAGATTGTAGCATTTATCAAATCTCTCTATTTGTTCTTCTCTTACCTGGTTACCGTACGTACCGCTTTTTTGCCGCAGTCGATTTATCTCATTTGTTTTCACCACGTGATTCAAGCATATAGAAAGTAGAGGTTTGAGGTGTTGGGTCAACTTGGGCAATTTACCACTGCAGAGGGCAACAATTATGTGTATCCTCATAGCTACAAATTCCAGTTTCTGTGGAAAGTTCTGACTCGTTGCATACTCGATCATTGCTTTCAAAACGTTGTGGTTGGGTCCACAGAGCGCATTCACAAACCGTTCAGAACCATTTTCTGCATCTGCGATATCCACAACAACACAAATGCAATGATCCACTATCATGTCAATAAAGAATGTCACACATGTAAAGCCATTCTGTGCTGATGAGTGTAGCAATAAGTGGCATTACTGCAACTCTATTATCAGATGACAGACTGGATGATGTCTGTGTAAGTATTAAAATGTATCTTTCAATTACTGCAACGAGATAATCGTACTCGTTTGATTTCTTGAAATCACTTTCCTTCGAACGATTCCCGACAAGCTGCAATAATTTAGCCATAATGTCCGATTCAATAACGAGGCTAAGGTCATTCTTGCGGTTTGAACTAGCGAGGAATGTCCCTACAGCTGTCAATAACGTATCAAAGAATCGATCACTGATCATCTCTTCAGCAAGCCTATAATTTGTGCTCAATTGACCCACCACATTTACTGTTATGGGAAATGTTTGGCGCACAATTTTGACAATGGGCTGCAGATCTTGCTTGCACTTATAACAACCAGCCATATCAGATATCACTTCCAACCACAAGGAAGGAAGAGAAAGACTTTTCATACGAAGATCCATTGACGATGGACATTTTTTGAACAGGAGACTGAGTAAAACAGATACAGTTGAAAGAACGCTGATATCAATATTGTCACAAGTTACCTCCGAGTGTGTCATGAAATATTGTTCATTTATCAATTTCAGGACTCTGCCCAAAAGCTCCTCGTGTTCCCAATACATCTTAACCTTTTTCATCAGATCTTTTAGCAGAGGAATAATTCTCATGTCCGAAACAAAGAACATTATCTCAGTTACTGACGCCAGGTTTTCCAGGTCTGTACCCAGAGCCAAAAGATCTTTCCAGAACGTTGTGCTTTTGAACGGCTCCTTTTTCATGAGTTTAGCTTGGAAAAATCTTGCATCTTTGAGATCTTTTCGCTTGTGTCTAAAAGTAGACAACAACTAGTACAGCTACAGACAGATCCGTCTGAAAAAATCGATCTGCTGACACACGAAGCTTTAAGAGGATTTTTGACGTTTTTGAGTCCCATTAGGTGCCCTTTATGGCTGACCAATTTTTCCAAACTTTTCCACTTGTCTTAAGGCCACTTTTTGCCACTTTACCACTTTTTACCACCTTTCTTGTTTGTCGAATATCTTTAGTTGTGAACATCGTAAAAGGTTGCAGATCAATCGAGTGTGTTCATATTATCAGGAAGAAAAACTTTTGTTCAAACAATTTTTACGTCAGATAATAAGTTAATTGGATAATTATCAATTAACTAATTAGCAAAATTCTAAAAATTTTTTATTGGCTCAAAATGATCGGAATAGCTTAAAACACGGAGAAAAGTAGTTTTTAGAAAAAATTTGAAAATTTTTCACTTACATTTTTTTTCGAGACTTGGAAAAAATTTCGAAAATTCAAAATATTTTTTCCGCCAAAAGTGATCAAACCGCATGAAACACGGAGAAAAATGCCTTTCAAAAAAACTTAGTGAATTTTTCGTTTCAAGAATACTTAAATAGCCAATATTTGTAGTTGGAGTTCAGTAAATCTCGGCAGATTTTAGTAATCAGGAATTACTAAGTGAAGAGGTCTGAAACTGAAAAACGTTAACCATACGATCGCGCGGCGATATAAGAGTTTCATAAACTATTTTACGCAGAAACTGCACCAATGGCACAGTCAAGATCGAAACGATAGCCTGCTGTACTGTCATTTTATTGATTTCAATGATGAATCAGTGGGGTTAAGATAATCACATTTGTAATAAATAAACATCTCTGTACCGTCAATTGTGCTAATCTAAACCAGCCTACCTGTATTACCAGACCTCTTCTTTTCCTCGACAATCAAACCAAGTTGTTCATATTGCATTTGGTGGGTGATGTAAGTAGTAATACATATCGTGATTGTATTCAATCACAATACGACACAATGCAATACGTGTATATTATATTATGGCCCTTAATGAGGTATATGAAACGTTCTATACCGTACACTTCTCGTTTCTCCTGTGAGAGGCCCAGTATGGAGAGGTTTTACAGTTTAGCACGAAAACGTCTACTTGGCCTCATGGCTCTTTGACAGCTCAAAGAAGGCAAGAAAAGACCAGAAAGCTTAAAATTTCAACTCGCTCTTTTCAATGCTCTTCGATCTGTCCCACATTAAATCTGAGCTGATCATCATGGCCCCGAATATCCTACGGGAAGAACCTGTATCTTTACCTCACGACGTCCGGATTTCAAATCAACACCCTCAATAACATTAACAATCCTTCCTGATCAGAATCTGTCTCTATTAGCAATTTCCAAAATATCCTGACTCTCGTGGAGCATTTCACTGAATTAATTATTACCGGTTCTTTACTACCCCTTGCCCGTCACTCGTATCTACATCTTACCCTTGCCAGTATGTTACTCTTGCTGATTTTACGTTTAGCCGACCCTGACGATGACATATGGGGGTGATTTGAGGTAACCACCGATCCAGCATAGTAAATGAAGCGGTATGCAATACAATACAAAACAAGTCACAGTTGATGTTGGAAGGTGTATTTACACTTGCTTCCTGGACCTGGCTGTTCCTTAGTTTCCCTGATCTGTTCTTGCCTTCTTCGAACTGTAAATGAGCCATGAGGTCAAGTATACGTTTTCGTGATAAACTTTAAAACGTCTCTATACCGGGTTTCTCACGGTATAAAGCGTTAGTCATTAAGAGCCATATAATATACACGTATTGTGTCGTAGTCTGATTGAATACAGCTCGATATGTATTAGTTTCAATACTTTCAACACTACTATATAACAAATAATTTGAATGACAGGATGGATTACTGAGGGCACTGTGTTAAGGTGATTTAAGTGGGTCCCAATCCCCACCGACCATTCTTCTTTGTGTCATGAATACTTGCTTCATCATCTCCTTTTAATAAAAATAACGGTGTCTTTATTGACTAAGCGCATTACTACATACATCACCCACCAAATGCAATATGAACAACTTGGTTTGATTGTCGAGGAAAAGAAGAGGTCTGGTAATACAGGTAGGCTGGTTTAGATTAGCACAATTGACGGTACAGAGATGTTTATTTATTACAAATGTGATTATCTTAACCCCACTGATTCATCATTGAAATCAATAAAATGACAGTACAGCAGGCTATCGTTTCGATCTTGACTGTGCCATTGGTGCAGTTTATGCGAAAATTAGTTTATGAAACTCTTATATCGCCGCGCGATCGTATGGTTAACGTTTTTCAGTTTCAGACCTCTTCACTTAGTAATTCCTGATTACTAAAATCTAAGTATTCTTGAAACGAAAAATTCTCTAAGTTTTTTTGAAAGGCATTTTTCTCCGTGTTTCATGCGGTTTGATCACTTTTGGCGGAAAAAATATTTTGAATTTTCAAAATTTTTGAAGTCTCGAAAAAAAATGTAAGTGAAAAATTTTCAAATTTTTTCTAAAAACTACTTTTCTCCGTGTTTTAAGCTATTCCGATCATTTTGAGCCAATAAAAAATTTTTAGAATTTTGCTAATTAGTTAATTGATAATTATCCAATTAACTTATTATCTGACGTAAAAATTGTTTGAACAAAAGTTTTTCTTCCTGATAATATGAACACACTCGATTGATCTGCAACCTTTTACGATGTTCACAACTAAAGATATTCGACAAACAAGAAAGGTGGTAAAAAGTGGTAAAGTGGCAAAAAGTGGCCTTAAGACAAGTGGAAAAGTTTGGAAAAGTTGGTCAGCCATAAAGGGCACCTAATGGGACTCAAAAACGTCAAAAATCCTCTGAAAGCTTCGTGTGTCAGCAGATCGATTTTTTCAGACGGATCTGTCTGTATTATATATAGTACTAAACGGTAAAACGTTCACTTTGCCAATCTGTCTCCAAATCTTAAGGAAGAGTTTGTCGTCATCTTCTAGGTCGAAATCCAGATGAGTGGATTCTGAAATTGAAAGTAACATTTAATTTTCAAGCATTAAAAGTTTTGCGTGATTTAGCCTTATCAAAAATCAAAAATGTAATGTATGTAATTTTGAATTTGGTTTACCTTTGTGAATAAGCAATCAATGTGACGTAAAAAATTGAGGCAAACTATTGGTTTTCACCCAACACTGAACACCATTAGTCATACGGCATACTTACTTACTTTGTTACTTTGTAGGGTTTCATAGAATCCTCTATCGGGCCATCGAAAAAGTCGACCCCCCGGACAGTGTAGAAACTGTTTTATCACCACTCCAATCAAGCAAGGAGTTTCCATTCCGACGGCTGTATCCTGGAGCTGGAGGCTCGTCCGGAAATGACTTCACAAAGTTCGTTAAAGCCGCTTTGAATTGCATAGGATCCTCGATGGTGTGCATATGTGTTGGGATTACATTCCATAATCGAGGTCCAGTGACTGCAAATGAGTTGTCATGTAGTGCTTGATTACGTTGACTGCTGGACTTAGCTATACTGGGCACAACTGCCTTTTGACCATGTCTGAGAGTCACCGAGAACTGGATACCAATATCATTAGGGCACTTGCAATGCAGAACTTTCCACATGTTGATGATTAAATACCGTTCTCTTCTTCTTTGCAATGACATCAGATCTAGGGCCTTTAATCTCTGCCAGTAGTTGAGGTGCTGGGTGCCATCTATTTTCAATGTAAACGTACGCTGAATCCCTTCTAGCTGTTGGATGTCCTTGTTCTTAGAGCAATTCCACAGAGGACAGCAATACTCCAGATGGCTTCTAACGAGAGACTTGTACAGAGTCATCATGGTGGCTTTGTCTCTCGTTTTGAACGCACTTAGCACCCAAGAAGCAACTTTTCCTGCGCGTTCAGCTATCCTGTTGACGTGTGGGGTCCAGGACAAATCAGCGGAAACCGTCACTCCTAGATCTTTCACCGTTTGAGTGGGGTACAGCATGTTTCCGTTAGACACTTCATATGTTTGAGCTTGGATGGCGAATGGATGATCAAACAAGGAATTCTTTGGACAATGCTTGTGAACAAGAAGCTCGAACTTATCCTCATGAAGGGCCATGTTGTTGCACTTAGCCCAATTAACAACAGAGTTGAGATCATCCTGCAGGACATCTTTGTCGGCCAAACTGTAGATATGCTTAAGAATCCTAGTGTCATCAGCAAAGAATCTGATGACAGACCCTTTAACACATAGCTTCATATCATTTATGAACAGAATGAATAACAGTGGCCCAAGAACGGTGCCTTGTGGAACTCCACTGAGGATTGCGGCAGCAAACGATGATACACCATTTAACACAACACATTGCTTCCTTTCAGTCAGGAAGGATTGGATCCAGTTTACCACCTTCTCATGAAACCCCAATCTCTTCATTTTCAGAAGCAGTAACCGATGGTCGACCTTATCAAAGGCTTTGGCAAAATCCAGATATATAGCGTCAGTGTCTGCATTTCTAGTAAGACCTTGAACTATATCGTCTACGTGACTTAACAGCTGGGTAAGGCAGCTTCTTCCTGAGCGGAACCCGTGCTGGTTGTTGCAGAGTAACTGATTTTTCTCAATAAAGTCAACCATAACACCACGGAGGATACGTTCATACACTTTGATGATGTGCGAAGTGAGAGCAACTGGTCTGTAGTTGACTGCCTTGGCCCTGTCACCCTTTTTAAATAGTGGTGTAATGTAGGTGTCTTTGTAGAACGATGGCACTGTACCGTTTTCAAATGATTCCTCCCAAATAATACGTATAGGAGAACACAACTCCTTAGCACAGTTTTTCAAGAGAGTTGTAGGTATTCCGTCCGGTCCACAAGCAGAATCTGTAGAGATACTTTTTATAGCTGAAATGATATCTTCGTCACTAATTCTAAAGTCCTCTAGTTCTTGTGGGTGCTGGATAGAGGGAGGGGAGAAAACCGGATCCTTAACATCAGGAGAGGTCGGATCGCTAAACACAGAGCTGAACTGTTCCTGCAGCAGATCGGCCATTTTCTTGGGGTCTGTGGTTATCTCCTGGTTGCTATCAAAGAGCATGTTAATACTGGATTTGATCTTCGACAGAGACTTAGCATAACTGAAAAAGAACTTGGGATTTGTTTTGATCTTTTCTACTGCCCTGGATTCCTTTTCATCAAGTCTCTTGGTATGGGCACATCGAATATCATACTGTAGGAGTGCAACCTTGTTCCTAACATTTCTGATGTGATCGTCAGGTGCACCATTGTTGACTAAGGCATTCAGCCTTGCCTGGAGTTGGTTCCTTTTACGCCGCAAAGCATTGGTATGTTTTGGGCACCCAGAAGGTTTAGCCTTGCGGGGAACATAAGACGAGCATATCTGAAAGAGGGTCTCAGTAAACAAGGCTGGGAAGTCTTCAAAAGAGCATGAAGAACGAAGTTGAGACCAGTTAGTGTCTTCTATCTCGTCTCTGAGCGAGCTGAAGTCTGCTTGGAGAAAATCAAGGCATCTGTACGAGTTTTCATCAAACTTCGGCACTGCTGATTTCTCCTGTTCAAGTGGATTATATGCTAGCATAACATCTACCACGTGATGGTCTGACATTGTTGTGGTTTTGCATTCAACATTTGTAACAACTCGGTTGTTGTTAGTAATAAACAGGTCCAAAACATTGTTTCCTCTCGTTGGACACATTACGTACTGACTCAGCAGATGATCAGACATGAAAGTTAAGAAATGCTGTGCTGACTGCTGAATTTCTTGCGTGCCTCCAGATTGAACACAATTTGTCTGCCAGTCAATTGAGGGTAAGTTAAAGTCTCCAGTCATCATGATATCGTAGCTGTCGTCATTAATACTACTGATACATACGGAGAAAAAACTGAGGAGTGCTTTAAAGCTTGACAAGGATGCATTAGGCGGACGATAAGCCACAGCAACACATGTCTTTATAGTGCTGAAACTACAGAAAAGTCCCTCACACGTGCCGTCATCAAACGTGTTACACTCACTGACCGGTAAGTTGACATGAGAGTAGAGTAGAACACCCCCTCCCACCCTTGCATCACGGTCGCTGCGAGATACCGAATATCTCGCAGTTGTGCGTCTGACATATAGGACTTGAGCCACGTTTCTGTAAGTGCTATAAACGGTAACGAGTGGTTTCTGGATTTCTCATCCTGAATAAGAGCTGAGATTTCTGGCACTTTCCATCTACTCGTACTTGATGCACTAGGATTCATGGACTGGACATTTAAGACGAGGCATGAGGAATAAGGGGCACGTGTGTCCTGTGAGGCGGTAGGAACTGCGGGTACTGGTAGTGGTATAGTGGGAGCGCTGTTCCTGGCTGAAGAGGTGGAGGTGGTCTGGGGTAGTGGTAGGGCATTTGAGTTTGAGGGAGGCTGGACCGGTGGTCGACTATTTCTGATAGGAGTCCGATCCTGGTTTGCATCGTTTCCAACAGTCTCCGTAACTCTAAAAAATCCTGATTCGCCGCCGTTACACCTTTTGATGGCATGGATTTCTTATTCTCTGCTTTTCCCTTCTTGTGTCCAACAGCAGAGTTGCTTGTCTGACGGCGGGTACCCTTCAAATGAATAAAAGTGCAGTCAGACTTCGTGCAAAGTTTATTCTTAACTGAAAACTTGCACAACACAGGGTGAAGAAACTTGCAGTCTGGACCTTTACTGCAACCAAACTTGTGCTGATTTCCGTATTGACAGAATCTGTTACAATACTTCGGGTGTTCAAACTCACAAATCTGACCATTATGTTTCTTCTTCCCCTTGAGACCATGAGGACACTTTCCACGCTTGTACTTCTCACAAATTCTCTCCTGCGCAGCAGCAGATGATTTCTCGTGAAGCTC